TATATAAGGTACATATACCAAAATAGGAATTTTTATAATTTTTGTCTGTCTGTCTGATTGTTCCGGCTAATCTCTGAAATGGCTGGACCGTTTTTACGGTACTTTTTTTGGCAGGTAGCTGATTTATAAGGAGTAACTTAGGCTACTTTTATTTTAGAAAATAAAGTTAAATTCCACGCGGACGAAGTCGCGGGAACAGCTTGTATCAAATAAAAAAATAGAGCGACAGATATTACTTGAAGAAACAGATAGTGTACACAAGTTTACTTTTGTGAAATTGATGCCTCATTATGTTTTACTACAGATATGTAATATTATATTATATTATCTGTGCTATAGACTAGAAGTTCCCGCGACTTCATCCGCGTGGAATTTAACTTTATTTTTCTAAAATAAAAGTAGCCTAAGTTACTCCTTATTACATCAGCTACCTCCAAAAAAAGTCCCGTCAAAATCGGTCCAGCCCTTTCAGAGATTAGCCGGAACAAACAGACAGACAAAAATTGTAAAAAATGTTATTTTTGTGTATTTATCGTATTTATATTCATATGTAGGTAGTAAAAAACTGTTATTTCAATATTACAAACAGACACTCTAATTTTATTTATATGTACAGATAAGGTAATATGACGTTTTACCTAATAAGACATCTAAAATTTGAAATTTCATTGCGATTAGTTATTAACTCATTATCATATCATTGGGAACGTACAAGATGACAAGAAAGGTCCATGTGAATAAATTTAATAAAGAAATAATAATAACGCAGGACAATTCACACAACGCCATCTAGTCACTGTCTAATCAGAGCTTGTTATGGGTACTAAACCACTAATATACACATATAGATACATTTCTATTTCTAAATATACATAGGAAACACCCAGACCAAGACAAACAATCATACTCATAGGTTTGTACTGTGCGAGGAATCGAACCAGCGACCATCAGAGGTTGGTGTTTAAACCGCTATACCATCGAAGGCATAAACATATCTCAGCGTTAGGTCAGTCGACAACTAAGACTTATACAAGACCTGGTTATCCTCAAACGCTACCAAAATAACTATATACCCGTAAGTAGCAGTTAACTTGGCTTCCGGCGCGGCCGACAGTTATTTTTAACCCTCTCATTATCCAGATGATCGTTTCACTGTGTGAATATATTCTAACTTTATTCTGTGAGTCACAATATTAACCGAAAATGCCTTTGTCTGACTCACATAACGTATCAAGTACAAAACTAATCAACAACTAACAAGATCTTATACTTTAATTATAATTTATTGTACCTACTGTGTTTGTTGAGCAAATCTATACATATAAATAAAATTGGAGTATCTGTTTGTAATATTGAAATAACCGTTTTTTACTACATGCATATGAATATAAATACGGTACATACACCAAAATAACATTTTTTACAATTTTTGTCTGTCTGTCTGTCGGTCTGTTTGTTCCGGGTAATCTCTGAAATGGCTGGACCGATTTTGACGGGACTTTTGTTTGCAAGTATCTGATGAAATAAGGAGTAACTTAGACTACTTTTATTTTAGAAAAATAAAGTTAAATTCCACGCGGACGAAGTCGCGTGTTAATAGCTAGTTTAAAATAATTTTTATAACAAGATTCGATATTAAAAAATACAACAACACCAAATTTTCACCCTTCTACTAACAACGTCTATTTTTGAATATCAATATACTTTGAGAACTGATTCATTTTTATGGCAACACAATGTTACGTTTTCTTGCTATCTGCCAGATTCGAACTTATGACCTTTCGATCTAAGACAGGGTACACCACGACGCTATTATTCATGGTATCTATTTCAAGTAATTATGTTATTTACAATTATTTCTCCTCAAAGTAATCTACATTGTGCGTACATTTATAATTAATTACGAGAAGCCAACTTGAGGCTTTGCGGCTGGCCATTTACCGCTCCATTGACTCGTGTTCCTTAGTAATTAAGTTTCAAACACAATTATAATAGCCGTTAAACGTTCTTCTAACTTAGCTTGAACTGCTGAAAAGAGCTGGGCCGAAAACTGACCTGAATCTGAATTCCATACTAAAGTTGTGAATGAATATATATAAATGTGAAAATGAATATATATAACTCTGTCTGTATATCTGTCGCGCTATCACGCTAAAACTACTGCGGCTTTACGGCTTCCCATTTGCCACTCCATTGACTCGTGTTCGTTACAGGCCTAGTAATAATTAAGTTTTAAGCACAATTATAATAACCGTTAAAAGTTCTTGTAACTTAACTTAAACTTCTCCTTCAGGCTGCTGAAAACTGACCTGAATAGTCGCAATGTTGCTATTCGCAGTATGGAATGTACATATACCTACAATCCTTCTAAATATTACAAATGCGACAGTAACTCTGTCTGTCTATCTGTCGCGCTTTCACGCTAAAACTACTGAACCTATTTAAATGGAATTTGTTACACATATAGTCTAAATCCTGAAAAAGTATGACCTTTCTCAGGGTCTTGACTATAGGCTACTTTTAATGCGAAAATGGGGTTGTAATTGGTCGAAAGGGGAGATGGAAGGTTGTATGAAAGTATCGCCATTTTCAAAGCTAGAACTTATTATTTAGGATCCTGATTAAATATAAATAAATATGTCATTCAAAGTTTGCAAAAAAATTACCCCTAAGGGTAGATGAAAGTTTGTATTTCAATTTCTTTAATTGTTGATACAACACGACTCCAACTTTCATAGATTTTGTGCCATCACATTTCAATTTTAGCATTAAAACACAAAATTTAACTTACAAAAACATTATTTATATTGTTAACCGGGTCTAAACACGAATAATTGTATGGTAAATGAAGGTATTTCATCCTCGCTTGACGTCTCGTATTACAACTCAATATCTAGAATTCAGTAGTAGTTAATCTTCTCCGAATATATTACTATAATGTACTGTGTATTTCTACGATTGCAAGAAGGGTATATTAAGGTTTCTTAAGGGTCGGCAACGCGCACATCACATCCCTGTTTCAGGCGTCCATACGCTTGGCTTTACCACCATCGTAGTATAAAATAATGGGCTATATATGGGCCCCATAAATAAGCTCAAAGTCACTTAGAAAGCAATGGAAAGGGCTATGCTTTGAGTTTCGCTGCGTGACCGTATTAGAAATGAGGAGATTCTCAGAAAAAGATTCTCTTTCTTCTGCCCGAAACTGAAGTGGCAATGGGCAGGGCACATAGCTCGTAGGACAGATGAGTTGGAGCAGTAAAGTCCTCGAGTGGCGAAGACGGACCAGAGGACGCAGCGTGGGAAGGCCACACACACACAGACAAGATGGACCGACGCCGATCTGGTCATGATCACTGGAAAGCGTTGGTTACGAGTAGCGCAGAACCGATCGTCGTAGAGATTTTTGGAGGAAAAGGTTTAGCAGTGGGCGTCTTCCAGGCTGAAATGATGATGATTCTGATGAGTTTAAAAAAAAAGCAGGATCCTCGTACGGTTGGCAACCCTGAATGAAATTCACGCGCTTACATTTGATACTTAGGCAATAAAATATCACGGGTTCTATGGTAACACCAATTTATTATTCTCATCGTGCCGACCCTCTGAGCGTGGTAGATGCGTGACGTGAGTAACAAGTAACAATATCGAAAGATTTCGGTACCTATGGTTACCTATCATGCCATAGACGCAGGTAACGGGGACCGTTATCAATCAAGTTGTAATATTCATTTCTATGTATAACTATACGATTTGCGGTTCGCCTATAACATATTGTGACTTTTCAGTCTTACAGTGGTAAGAACGCCATTAAAACCTGAGTATTTTAAAAATATAGGATTCCTACTACTCGGTTCCTAAAAGAAAAGCGTGACGATGATGTGTTTAAGGAACTAATCTGAAACAGTTTCCTTGTTTTGAAACATTTTTCATTATAGTTCCAATGGTAATGGCTGGCAATAGCATCAGGGCATTAGTTGTTGACAAGGGACTTTAAACTTTAAATATATTAGACATGTTACGTTACTTAAATCCTATGTAATATTTAAAGATTGAAACTGACTTAAAAAATGATAATAACATAAAAAAGGTTTTTGCCGAATCTCAACTGAAGTAGCTAGCTGAACTGGACGGTAAGAATAGTGATAAAATAGGACGTGCATAAGAAGGACAAAGGTCGTGTGAGAAGAAGTTATTTTGAGTTTGAAGTTTGATAAATGAGCTAAAATCTGACACTAAATAATTTTCCACATCGCATAATTTTAAGATTACATGAACTTGAGCATACAAACTCACAAACTTTACCTCTTCATCAAGCATTCTTGACCATCTTCAATGCCAAGCTTTAAATAGTGTTAGGGAAAATAATTTCTGAAAGCGTGAAGTTAGGTCAGTCATACCTTTTGATGCTCCGAAGACTTCTTAGCGTTCTTAAGAAAGGTCCAGGCGATTAGCACAATTTCACAATGTGAACTCGTTTTAAATATACTTGAGGAATGTGGGCGCGCGTGTCGAGATCTTAGGTGAGGTCTTTGTAACCGTCTGTTCCCCTCCCTCCGCAAGGGCTAGAGACGGCTGCTTCCCCGTCGACATCGCAGCCTTGAGAAGGTGCGCGCGTGTACCCGCTCTACTTCTCCTGAAGAAGAGTAGTGACCCGTCTACTGAGATGGGACCCCGCCGTCGGAGCTGCGGAAGAATGCTCGCACACACCCGGAGCTTCGGCAATAAGCAATAGAGATACACATTGGGGTTTTAGTAGGGAGGAGTCCGTTACCCCTGGAGCGGGCGATTCTCCATGACTGATTTCCCCAAGAAAAAAGAAAAAAGGTCTTTGTAACCCTCATGTTAGGAGATCGAAGGGTACAGAAAAACAACTACCTACATTTTTGAACATATTTATAGAATATTGTTTACAAATAAACTAGGATAAAGAAAAGGCATGAACTATACATATTTTAAATAACACATGTATAAAAACTTTAAATACAATTTGTCTTTCACAGCGACGTCTCACACAAAAATACAGCATCGCTGTGGGTGTACCAACTCTAGTGATCAGGGGACGAGGAGTGCGCGACGCTCTCTTATCAGACCCCCTAGGGGAGAGGTTCCCCTGGCCAGCCCCCCCACTACATGAAGTGTTGCGAGGGGTCCACCTGGAAGGAGACAAGGATAGTAAGCTGTATGAGAAGTTAGCAGCTGACACTGTGAGGGTCTTCTACTTTGCCGCTCATTGGGTAAGTTATTTTTTTCTGACTGTTACGGATAGGTGGACTGTATGGGTGTCTAAATGAAGAAAACATATAGATTATTGTAAAGATTGAATGAAACACACCAACTATCAAATAGCAACTGTTTGATAAACGTAATCCAAAATCTCTTTAAGTACTGGACATTATGATATTCAATTTATTAATATGCAGCTGCGAACTATGGGATAAGGCAATAGATCCGTAATACCTACTGTATTTTAAATACTTCATTACATAGTATAAAATAAAGTCACGTCGCTGTCTGTCCGACCCTGTGTATGCTTAAATCTTTAAACTATGCAACGGATTTTGAAGCGGTTTGTTTTAAATAGATAGAGTGATTCTAGAGGAAGGTTTATATATATAATAAATGTACACCCGTGTACATGTACATGTATGTATAATTATAAAACAAATATATTTAAAGAAAATTTTCCTAGTGTGTAACGTTGTTGAAAATTAGTTACCTAATCCTATGGACAATTTTCAAGGAGTTTAATTAGTTATTTTAAAAAAATTATATATAGTATACCACGTTAACATGATAATGATATCGTGATTAACTGGACGGTAAAGAAATATTAATACAAAAAATTAATTTAATGTTCTTAAGTGGCTATAATATCCTACATGAATAAATGGTTTGATTTGATCGCAGTGTCCGCCGTGCCGAGCCTTCTCTCCGAGCCTGTGTGCAGCGCTGACAGCTGTACGGAAACGCAGAGCAAAGTATGCCAACACGCAGCTCATACTGGTCTCCAGTGACAGGTCAGTACACAGCCCCTCCAATCGATCCCCCGTCCAATTCAAACGGGGATCGATATTACGACAGCCTGAGCCGAGGTTCGAACCCCTAGCGGTGCCATCAGACTAAAGTCGTATCCGGTAGGCGGGAGTTGGCCTTCAGCCGATACATAAGTCCTTCCGCGGGTTTAGAGTGCCATCTACACTTGTCCCCTATCGTCCGGTGAAGCTGTAAAGGCCAGCTGCGACCAACAGAATTAGAGTAGTCCGAAAAAAAGGTCAGTACATCAACTTGACATCGATAATATTAATAACTTTATTTTGCAAATGGAGAAATAAAAAAAAAATTATAATATAATACATTAAAAAAAAAGCATTTCTTTCGCCTAATGGCCATTACAGCTTACCCAACGATAGGAGAAAAATGCAGATGGCAATCCAAACCCGCGCAAGGACTTATGGAACGACTGTAGCCATCTCCTGCCTGGCCGATATGATTGTAGTCTGAGAGCACCACTAGGGGTTCGAACCTCGACTCAGGCCGTTGTAATTTCGATCCCCATTTGAATTAAACGGGGTAACAATGGACGGAGAGCGTACAGAGCGTAGATTGTATCACAAAAGCAGACATACATCGTCTTTTATTTTAAAAAAACTTACTGCTTCACTTACACTTGTGTCATACATTTTATTAAGAACTGGTAGCCGGCATTGAATAATGAAATAAAACCTACGCCCACGTAATATTCGCAGCGGGCCAGTTGTCGTAAATTCAAATTTTGTTGATTGTTGGCCGGCCTTTTCGTCACCGGGGAGTGGTGACTGACTCATCATATTACATTCAAACACGTGTATGTTTGAGTGTAATATGACCCAACACTCAAAATATTGTTAGGAATGTTGATTGATGAGGGGAGTGGTGACTGACTCATCATATTACATTCAAACACGTGTATGTTTGAGTGTAATATGACCCAACACTCAAAATATTGTTAGGAATGTTGATTGATGATCTTATTGCTAGCAATGTACCATGTCAGAATGACCTCTACACCGTTTCCCCTGGAAACCATCGTGATAAATTCTTATTGAATTTGTCACGATAGTCTAACTGACCTGACCTCATGTTCATCCTATCATCCTCCACTGGTGCCCCGCCAGCGTAAACCGTTAGCGCAGGCGGGTGCATCATTCCATTATCATCCACTAAATAAAAACACTCAACATATACAACAGATAACAATCTAGAATTGTGGTGGTGAAATTTAGAGCCAAAATAAAATGAGAAAGCTACATGTTGAAAAAGAAGGTATGTCAATTTGGTAGTATTTTTTATGTTTGATACCTCAGAACTCCATAATTTATAAACCGAATTTGAAAAAATCTATACATATCAATAAAATAGAGTATCTGTTTGTAATATTGAAATAACTGTTTTTACTACACGCATAGGAATATAAATACGGCACATACACCAAAAAAACACTTTTTGAAATTTAGGGTACAGCTAGTATAAAATAAAAACCTTCTTCTTCTTAAGCATATACGCGTATGTATTAGTCCACTATTGGACTGGACCAGTGGACGCTGGACGTATGCCTCTTACATAATTTCCTTAAGTAAAATCCTTAATAACATTAAATCCGACTTAAACTAAATATTTAAATTACGTGACGATCCAAAAATACCAACGAATAACAACCAACTAAGTAACAAAATAAACAGAAGCGAATGAATTTAAGTAATTTAACTTTATTTACTCTCGAAATAAACGAAGGAAACTTAAATTAACTTCAACTGTGATGCTACTATATATTTTGTACCATTATCGCATTCTCGTTTTACTTTGACGGCCTCGGTGGTTGAGCGGTTTAACACAACGATTTGCTTCCGACGGTCGTGATGCTCCACCCCGACCACACTTTTACACACACACACGACACCGTCCTCGCCGGCGAAGACGACGACCTCAAACACACACTATCGCTCATTCAACCGGGCGACTACGCGCGCCCGGGCGCTACACACCGGCGCTCCGGGCGCCCCTCTGATCGATCCCCCGTCCAATTCAAACGGGGATCGAAATTACGATGGCCTGAGCCGAGGTTCGAACCCCTAGTGGTGCCCTCAGACTAATGTCGTATCCGTCAGGCAGGAGTTGGCCTTCAGCCGCTCCATAAGTCCTTCCGCGGGTTTGGAGTGTCATCTGCACTCACCCCCTAACGTCCGGTGAAGCTGTAAAGGCCAGCTGCGGCCAAAAGCATTAGAGTAGTCCGATAAAAAAAAAGGTGAGTTCAATTCCATTTATCCGTCTGGATGTTTTCTAATAAGTATGTATTTACAAAATCTCAGTATTTATAGTATAGTAGTAGTATCAGTTTTCTAGTACCCATAACACAGGCTCTGCTTACCGTGGAACTAGATGGCGCTGTGTTAATTGTCCAGAGTTATTTATTTATTTCAAGAATATAAAATATATACACTTTCCCAAGGTAGACTGTTGTTATCTGACGGCCTCGGTCGTCTAGCGGTTTCACACCGCTTTATTTCCGATGTTCGCAGATTCGATTCCTCGCACGGTGCAAACATTCCAATTACTAAAAAAACATTTGTATTCGTAAGTCAACAAAGAAATTGGCAATTTAATAATATCTCACCCGTTGGAGAGCCAACATTTATCTCGGATCGGCCGAACGGACGGGGTCGAAAGAAAAACAAAGTACTTAGCGGCGATCGATTGTGAACGGGCGCCCGTTGAATGCAAAAGAGCTATATTCAATTTGCCTTAACAACGTCCTATCCTTATTATATTATGTAACTTTAGTTTTATATTCATTATTACATAGTATAAAACAAAGTCATAATATTGAAACCTTCAAGAAAAGAGCTTGTTCCTTTTTAAAAGGCCGACAACGTACTTGCAATTCCCCTGGTATTGCGGGTGCTCATGGGCGGCGGTAATCACTTACCATCAGGTGAGCCGCATGCTCGTTTGTCCTGTGTTATAAAAAAAAAAGTCGTTGCCGCTGTCTGACCGTCCCTATATATGCTTTAACCTTTAAAAGTACGCAATGGATTTTGAAGCGGTTTCTTTTAATAGATAGAGTGATTCAATTATGTTTTAAAATGGTTTACGGCTAATAATATGTTACTAAATGCAAATAAAACTAAATGTATCAAATTTACTCTCCCCAATGTAAGGCCGGTAGATTAAAAAATCATGTTGGACAATAAACTTATTAATTTTGTGGACGATACTGTATTTCTAGGTATCACATTAGATTCCAAGTTGCAATGGGGTGCTCATATTACTAAATTGGCGAGTCGACTTAGTTCTGCCGCTTATGCGGTAAGAAGAATTAAACAATTAACAGACGTGGCAACGGCTAAACTTGTGTACTTTAGCTATTTCCATAGCATTATGTCGTATGGTATTTTGTTATGGGGCAAAGCAGCTGATATAAATACAATATTTATTTTACAAAAGAGGGCCATTCGCTCCATTTATAGCATGGGTTCCAGGGAGTCTTTACGAGAGTGCTTTAAGGAATCAAATATCCTCACCGTTGCTTCTCAATATATTTATGAAAATATCATGTATGCCAGGAAGAATATAGACACTTTCAAAAGAGTTAGTGATTGCACTAATAAAAGCTTACGTAACAATAACAAACTGATTTTACCTAAATGTCGTTTGGCTAAAGTTAGTAATTCGTTTTATGGCAATTGCGTAAGGTTTTACAATAAAATACCAGAGTCTGTTATAAATCTGCCAGAAAAAAGATTTAAACGTCAAATAAAACACTTCTTTTGCAAAAAAGCTTACTATAAAATTGAAGAATTCGTAAACGATAATAATGTTTTTGTAGAAAAAATTTAAATACATAGCACTGACAATATTATCTGATTACACTAATAATGAGTGCGTAGCGATTTCTATGTTGATTATCGCATGCCTCTTACTTGTTACACTGTAATTATTTATATAAAAAAAACATCTATTAAAAAGAGCAACACACAAGTTTCTTGCTCATTCTTCTTGTGATGAATCTGCATTCCGAATGAGTGGTAGAATCAAAATATGACTATTCAAAAGTGCTTATAATGAGTTTATTTGAATAAAGATTATTTCTATTTCTATTTTAAGAGGAAGGTATATATATATAATACATGTACACCCTGTGTGAAGCCGAGGAGAGTAGCTAGTTACATAGTATAAAACAAAGTCTCTGTCGCTGTCTGTCCGTCCCTATTCTATTATAATTCTTCAAACAGACACTCCAATTTTATTTAGTTGTATAGATAAAGATTGATTGGATCGCATATTTAGAATAAATACATACATTATTTTTTTATAATATACTAGCAGACCCGGCCACGCGTTTTGTGGCGATTCTTGAATAAAATAATATTGCGACCTTAAATTTAGATGCAAGCTATCCAATCTTTCAAGTTGGATCAAATTGCACACGATGTGCAAATCAAATTTGCAATCGGTCCAGTAGTTTATGAGTCCGTCGCGGACAACCAACGTGACACGTAATTTTTATATATATTACAAAGAAAATAATAAGTCTTTTATCTTTTTAATAACATTTTATATTACAACAGAATTGCTCTGTAAAAAGGATTAATATCGGACACTCGGTGCGCGCAATTAACTCGAAAACGGTGCAGCAATTACAGAGTAGACGTCACCGTTTCACCATTTGACGATATTAAATTATACAATACCTTTTATTTTGTTTGTCTGTCTGTTTATTCCGGCTAATCTCTCAAAAGACCGGACCGATTTTGACGGTACATTTTTGGCAGGTAGCTGATGTAATAAAGAGTAACTTAAAAACTTGCAATATTTTATGCTGGTGGTCACAGTATTCTCCCAAATTTGAATTTAATAATAAGTATGTATTTGGAAACATGTACAAGCTCATTTGAAAAGAATAAGAGCTGAGTTTCTTGTCAGTTGTTCTCATCTTGAAATCATTCCGAACTGACGGTAGATTTGATATATCATAGAGTCT